CTTCTGCAGCCCCCACGTGGGGCCCAAATTATCCCTGAACATGAAGATGATGCTGAAGGCTGCTGCTTTGTTTTATAGAATGCCATTTGTTCTATATCTCTATCTAAATCTATGGATTTAACTATCTCATGGAGTTACTTTTGATGAAGTAGGCGGCTATACAAATTTGATTAATTAATAAAGTATCTTTCCTTATTTACTTCAATTTTAAAAATTGGGGGGGGGAAAGTCAATGCAGTCCTAGGCTGCATTAACAGGGATAGAATCAAGACAATGTTTGATTCAGTGTTAATACCACTTGATAATGCCTTGGTGAGACTATACTTGGAATACTGCATCCAGTTTTGGTAGCCATGATGCAAAAAAGATCCGGAGATGCTAGAAAGAATAGAAGAGCAACAAAGATCATTAGAAGACTGGAGGCAAACACATATGAAGAATGGTAGAACAATTGGGTATGCCTAATTTAATGAGAATAAGGACTAAGGGTGACATGATAGCATCTTCCAATATTTGAGGGGGCTGCCACAAAGAAGCGGGGGTTAACTTATTCTCCAAAGCACCTAAAGGCAGAACAAGAAACAATGGCTGGAAACTCATTAAAGAGAGAAGCAACCTAGAACTAATGAGAAATTTCCTTACAGTTCGAACAATTAACCAGTGGAATGACTTGTCTCCAGAAGTTGTGGGTGCTCCATCACTGGAGCTTTTTAAGAAGAGACTGGACAACCGTTTGTCAGTCATGGTATAGGTTTCCTGCCTGAAAAGGGGTTTGGACTAGAAGACCTCCAAGGTCCCTTCCAACTGTTCTCTGTTAAATCTAAGCAAAGGAAAGTCAGGGGGAGCAGAACTTCTAGAAGTGCGGAGGGGCTGCCCATATGCAGACTGCAAAGCCCTGACTTAGTTCATCCTGCAGAGACCTTCTGAATTCGCTCTCCTTGGGAGAGGGGGATATTCCCCAAGTGCCCTGGATTGCAGGAGGACTTCTTCAGCTGCCTCCAAGCCAGTTAACAGCAGGGCTGGAAGTAGCTTTTTCTGTCTGTTCACTAGGTGTATTTTATTCTTCCTGAAGGTCCCCAGGCCCTGTTGTGGGGGGGGGGGGCTGATACCTCCAGGAAAAAGAAAGTGGGGCTGCTGCTCAGTTTAAGCAAAGATAAAAAGGACCCTATTGTACAGTTACCTGACAGGCTTAGTAAAGGGGGACCCCATTCTGGCATAGGAGAGAGGGGCAGGGGGACCCCTCAAACTTAGAATGATCCTCCCCTCTCCTGGGAGGATTGAATACCCAAAGGCCTTTCCTTAATGCTCCCTAGTGGCCAGAAGAAGCTTGCTCTGCTAAATCTCTGCCCCCTCTCCTCCCCCACCCACTGGGTGAGATGCAGGGAAATGTGTGGAGGAGAAACCCAGCTGACTCTCTGCAGACAGCAGGTGTTGTGTCCTGAGCCTGCAAAGGCAGGCTCAGGACGTTGCAATGGTCCCGGGACCAGACAGGCTGTCGCCGGCTTCGCGTGCATGCACGAGGCGCGGAGCGCACCTAATTGTTGCCATTCTGTCCGGGGAACGTTATTAAAGGAAGCAGAGAGGCCTGCGAGCCTCAGAGTTGTAACAGAGTAAAGAGACTGCAAATAAAGACTTGTTGGAACCACGAGATGTTCTGTGCTCATTCGCCATTAAGCGGAGGACTCAACAGCAGGACCACCAATTCTTCTGCTCTGGGTGAGCTCCGAAGCTGAGCGAAGCTTCTTTGGCTGTGCTGGTGCTGCTTCAGAGCCGGGATTCTATCTGGGGAGGCTGCCCAGCCGGGATCTGCAGGACCTCAAGCCCCCACTTGCCCCTCCTGCCCAAGAAACGTCCTGTAAAATGTGTGGGCAAGCGAGGGGGGGGGAGCTGAACAGGAAGTGTCTGCTGCCTGTCTTCCTTAGAAGGGAAATGCCGGACAGATGGATGGCCCAGCCTAGAAAAGCCTTTGAAAGAAGATCAAAGGGGAGTCCGTCCAGCGCAAGGGAAGGCCATTCTGCAAATGTTGCCAGTTGGAAAAGCTGATCCTAGATTCCTGCTTAATTGATCCTCATTAGGTCAAGGAATGTTTTAGGTGCCAAAAAGGGCTTTAGGAAATATCAGAGCTGTTCTGAAAGAATGACCAAGGATAGGGGAGGTAGGAGAGATCGTTTGAGGTGGTGAGGAGGGGGCACAGGGAACATTTGGACCATCAGTCCTTGGTGACATCTCTAAAGGAAGAGTTTGCGACAGAAAGTGCCCTTCCAGGGACAGGAGAAATGGCCTTCAGTTTCCAAGATGCCCACCCCAGAAATCTCTTCTCTTCTCTTCTCCTCCTCTTCTCTCTCCCCTCCCCGCCTCCCCTCTCCTTGCAGGAGTGTTTGTAATGCAATCTGTCTGTTGCTCTTTTTTTTTTTTAAATGCTGGGAAATCTTATGCCTGACCCAGTTCTGAAGTGGACGCTGCAGCGACACAGGCTGCGTGGAGCTCTTAGGAAAAGAAGGCACCTGCCGAGGGAGAAATCAACCTCTTTTGTTTTCTGGAAAAGATCCTTTAGAAAGATCATTGCTGGGTCAGTAATTAAATAAGGGAGTTAATTACCTAATTGCCTCTTCTTTCTAGGAAATGGAGAGGTCAGGATTTAACGACCTGAAGTGGAAAAATTCTTGCTTAGAGGGAGGCAGCCTCTTCACAAAACAATCACATCACTTAATTTGCATGGAGTCACCAAGCATGGAGAAAAGTGCATGAGACGATTCACGTGGCAAAAAAGCAGCCATATCTGAAGTCTGAGGTGGAGGCAATTTGCATCTTGGACGTGAGAATTATTGACAGGTTTGCTTTCCCTGACAAGTGACACAGTCACAATATCTGGGGACCCATTTCTGACAGCCATTTAGGTCACCCCACAGCACTCCTTGGCACCCAGGGACATGGGGAGGCAGAAGTCTGGCAGCCCCTTCAAAGGAGCAGGAGGACCTCCAGCTGCAGCTCTGCTGGCTTGAAGACCATGATGGGCTCCTTGGACAGGTGGAGACGCCCTTCCATGGAAGGTCACATGCTCCAGAATCCATGGTGGAGTCTTTCAGCTGTTGACCACTGAGGTGCAGAGTAGCCCCAATCACCCAGGCATCAGGTAGCAGCAAATCTTACTCAATACCATTGGTGGGATTCAAATATGTGAACAACTGGTTCTCTGTATGGATACCACTTCTAGAAGTCCATTCTGGGCCTGGGCAACAAAAAATTAGCTACCGGTTCTGCCGAACTGGTGCGAACCAGCTGAATCCCACCACTGCTCAAGACCCACAATAGGTCATAGCTAAAATCATACCCATTTTATTTGGTGGGGATGGGAAGGAGGAGGCAGTAGACATGTCCTGGCTGGGAAAAATAACAGCCTTCCTTCTGTATTTCTTTAGGGCTCATTTCAATGGTTGTTGTGATGAATGCTGAGTTACTTTGCTCTTAATGGTAACCCAAAAGTACCTTTAAGACACAGGAGACCTTTGACCAGATTAGAGAGCTGGAAGGAAACTTGGAATTGATGTATCCAGCCCTTGGCCAGTGCAGGGATCTGCTACATCATTCCTGGTAGATGGTCATCCAGCCTCTGTTTAAACACCTCCAGCAAAAGAGAGGCCAAGATAGTCTGTGGCTGTGCTGACCTCTAGTAAAAGTTCATAGAATGGTAGATTTGGAAGTGACCTCAGAAGGCATCTAGTTCATTTTCTTTCTTGATGTGGGATCTTCTAAAGCATTTTGGACAGATGACCATCTCACCTCCATGTGAAAACCTCCAATGAAGGTGAACATGTCTCATTTCATGAATCAGCCTGTTCTACTGGTTGATGGTCTTGACTGTTAGGAAAATCCTCCTATATCTGATCTGCATCCATAGCCTTTGGTTTGTGGTCCTGCCCTCTGAGACGACAGAGAACAAGTCTACTGCTTCTTTTATATAGCTGTATGTATGACTTTGCATTTGTCTCCCCTGAAACATATCTCACTGGTTTTTCTTATAACTTCCTGATATAGTCCACCTTTGTGTTGACTACAAATCTGATAATCATATTTTCTAATCCCCTCAGCCAAAATGTATATGTACGGTGTATAAGTTATATATTTACAGTGTGGAGACATTGATGTACAGGCAACTAATGCTAGTAGAGTGAGGCCAACATTCTGCCATTTTTCTGTACTAGGAGACTTTGTCAAATCCTTTGCTAAATTCAAGGGACACTGTGTCCTTGGCCTCCTCCTGGTCAGATAAGCTGGTCTCTCGATCAAGGAAGGAGATCAGGTTGCTTGGCCAAGATTTTTTTCTCAAGAACCTCAGTATTGGTTCCTGCATCTTTTCTAAGTGCTTGTGAACTGACCACTTGGTCATCCATTCCAGAGTTTTGCCCAGGATCAGCACAGCACGATGCTGAGAGATACTGAAGTGGAACAGCATCACTGCCCAGAATAGGGCTCCATCTAGATCTTCTAGTGATATCCCTTAAATGGGCTTATTGGGAAGATACTGTAACCTGGATCAGAGGAATCTGCCTAGAAATTCAGACCATGAATTTGAGAGGCAAAGCAGTCTGTGGGAGAATTCCAATGAAGACAGCATCTACCTGGGGCACTGCCATCTGCCATCCCAAGCCAGGTACCCACTTCAAGTGCCTCTTCCACTTTGCCTGGTGCTCAGGGTTGGGGCACCAAAGGAAGGTCCATGTAGAACCTCTTGACTCCTCCAGGCTTTCTTCAGAAGCTCCTTCTTTTGTATAATGGGGATGGCTACCTATCTGACCTGGGTTTGCACCCTCATTTCTCCCTGTTGCTTTTTTGTGCCCCAAACTTCCCCACCAGGCCAGCTTTTTCAATCATTACAAAGCCTGACTTTTTCCTATTCATGACTCTGGCATTTCCATAGCAACAGAAGCCCTTCATAAAGCAGGAGGCACAGAAAGAGACTAATAATAGGCCAGAGACCCAAGTGGAGAGTTGGCGGAGAGGAAGCGCTCCAGGTTGGAGCTGCTTGGCAGGAATTGGGGCTTTCCTTTTGGCGGATCAGCCTGTGTCGGTCCCCGAGGGAACCCTCAAAACAACATTTACAGGGAAGCCCCAGAGATTCCCTGAGGGTGGAAAGGAAAACCAAGAAAGCCAGGCCCTCTTGGTCCAGCAGTCCTCCAAGAGCTTCTCGGAAAGCCCTCAGAAGGAGGACAACCTCCTACAACGACTTCATCGAGAACTAGTGCTGGGAGGCAGACAAGTTCCAGTTTGAAATTTGGAACGCACTGTCCAATCAGCTCCCTGCTCTCTCCTTCAGTCCTCTTCTTCGGACCAAACTCACCAAGTGATGTGGCCCTTTTTCAGGAGATGTTGCTTCAATTTGCAGACGACACCAAGCTGGCAGGAATAGCCAACCCTCCAGAAGACAGGCTTAAGATACAGAAGGATCTGGACAGACTTGAACACTGGGCGCTATGTAACAAAATGAAATTCAATGGTGAAAAAAGTAAGGTTCTACATTTAGGCAAGAAAAACCAAATGCACAAGTACAGCATAGGTGGCACCATGCTCAATATTAGTAACTGTGAGAGGGACCTCGGAGTCCTAGTAGACAATCACTTAAATATGAGCCAGCAGTGTGCTGCAGCTGCCAAAAAGGCCAACACAGTGCTAGGCTGCATTAACAGAGGGATAGAATCAAGATCACGTGAAGTATTAATACCACTCTTCAATGCCTTGGTAAGGCAACACTTGGAATACTGCATCCAGTTTTGGTCACCACGATGTAAAAAAGATGTTGAGACTCTAGAAAGAGTACAGAGAAGAGCCACAAAGATGATTAGGGGACTGGAGGCTAAAACATATAAGGAACGGTTGCTAGAATTGGGTATGTCTAGTTTAACGAAGAGAAGGACAAGGGGGGACATGATAGCAGTATTCCAATATCTCAGGTGCTGCCATAAAGAAGAGTGAATTAAGCTATTTTCCAAAGCACCTGAAGGCAGGACAAGAAGCAACGGGTGGAAACTAATCAAGGAGAGAAGCAACCTATAACTAAGGAGAAACTTCCTGACAGTGAGAACAATTAATCAGTGGAACAGCTTGCCTCCAGAAGCAGTAAATGCTCCAACACTGGAAGTTTTTAAGAAGAGACTGTACAGCCATTTGTCCGAAATGGTGTAGGGTTTCCTGCCCGAGCAGGGGGTTGGACTAGATGACCTCCAAGGTCCCTTCCAACTTTACTACTACTATTATTATTATTATTAACATCTTGATCATTTGGACTGCTCTTTTCCGGCTCTACAGTCACCCTTTTTTAAGGGTGGCCACCAGAGGTGGACACAACACCATAGAATCAGAAAGTTGCGAGGACTCTGAGAGGCCTCTAGTCCAATTCACTGATTGGATCAAGAACTACTAAAACATTTCCGGGGGATGGCTGTCCAAATTCCTTTGAAAATCTTCAGTAAATAGAACAGACCACTTCATGGGGTAGCTTATCATCTGTTCCCCCTTCAGCGGAAGACTTCAGTTCAAAGCTGGAACGAGGTCTATAACAGGGGCCAATTAATCCCTGGGTCTCTTCAAAACTAGATTATAAGACAAGAATGGTTGCCAGCTCTTATTGTCAGGAAATTCCTCCTAATATCTAATCTGAATTTACTTCCCTCTAGTTTCAACCACTGATTCTGGCCTTTCCCGCTGGGTGGCGGAGAACAAGCGCCTCGCTGCCCTGAACTGACCCCTCTTTAGGATCTGAAGTCTGTCCTATCTCCCCTCAGTCTTTTTCCTGTCAGCAAAATATTTATTGCTCTTCATAGGACTTCATTGTTAGTTCCCCAGCATCCTCCCTAAAAATCACTCCAGCTTCTCTATGTCCTTTTTAAATGGTGGTGGCCAGAACTGGACACAGAACTCTAAACAGACGCTGTCCAGGCAGAGCAGGGTGGAACCGTTCCTTCTTGTTATCTGGACTCTCTGTTCCTATTAATGGATCCCAAAATAGCAGTTGCCTTTTTAGCAGCTGCTTCACGCTGCTCGCTCATGTTCAATTTTTTGATATACTAGAACACTGAAATCCTTTCTTTTGTTCTCCTGCCAAGCTAGGTCTCCCCTGGCCAATGCTCTTATTATTATCTCTCCTGGTGTAGGATGTTACATTGCTCCCTCTTAAATTTCGTTCTGCTTCCTATGGACCACTTGTGAAACTTACCTGCCCTTTCTTGTTCTTCTCTTTCTTCTCTAAAGGATCGGCCATTGTCATCTTTAATTTTGATAATCTTCTCAATCTTTTCATCCAGGCCCAAAAACATCCCTGGGTGCAGGATAGAGTCCTGCAGTCCTCCACTAGACCAAAGATAACATGGAGCCATTTATGACTACTCTACGAGTGCACTTATCCATTCAATCGTGAATCCAGCTAACAGTCGTATTATCTAGCCCATATTTTACCATTTTATGAGTGAGGACATCAGGAGAGAGTTGTTTAATGCTTCGCTGAAGTTAAGGTACATGACTTTCTGCAGCATTTTCCCAGTCCATTGTGCAAGTAACAGAATCAGAAAATCGGATAAAATGACATGGTGGCAACAGCCCACGTTCGTTAGCGCCTGTTAATTGTTGTATTCCTTTCCAAGAGTTCACATATGTGCTGTTTAATGATCTGCTTGAGGACCTTCATCCATAAGACATCAAGCCTCCTTTGTCCTTTTATGGAAGAAAGGGACAATTGTTCCCCTCCACACTTCTGAGAGGAGATCTGAAGGATTATTGTAGCAATGCTATGATCACCTCCACTAATTCAGTACCCTGCGGTATAATTTGACTTGCATTCCCTTAAATTAGCCCCGTTTCTTCTCCTGCTCTCTCCATAGCCATCTCGAGCTGCAGCTTCCTGTTTCCAGCAGTGGCACAGCTGTGGCCAGCAGCTGGAGCTTCATTTCTCTTCTGGGAGAAGACAGGCATAAAATACGAGACAAGACACCTGGCCCTTTGGGGATTACCAGCTCACCTCTTCCTACTTGCAAGAGACCAACCGCCATTTTTTGTTTCTTTTTGATGTTTCCAGCTTTGTGTTATAGCGCTGGGCATTTCTGACAAGCCTTAGTACATTCTGAGCTTTAGTTTTTCTGACAGAATCCCTGCATTTCTGTCACTGTCTCTTTGGTTCCATTTTCTTTATATCTCTTTTTTTTCCCCCCAGCATTTTTGAATTCAGTCTGGCTCTCCACACTGTCTCTGTTGAGGTCTCTCATGGTTTACTTATTTTATTTACTTATTTATTAAATTTATATGGTGCCTATTTCAGTGTCAAGGGACCCTGCGTGGCTTACAAAACTGTAAAAACACAATACAGAACAATAAGAGCATAAAAACATTAAAAACATTTATCCTGCCAGCAGGAATATTAGGCACTTTCAGGATCACCCTGGACAGGATTTCATACCCTTTCTGGACACAATTCTCCTTCAGGATTTATTTAATTCTTTATTTGGGTTTAGGTGCTGCCCATCTTCAGAATGACTCTGGGCAGCTCACAATATCAAACAAAGAAACAGATTTTAAAACGCACAGAAAAATTCAAATAAATAAGATAGCACCTGTCCAGCTGATGCGGGTAGCCCTTGATGCAGGACAGCGGTTCTCAACCTGGGGGTCGGGACCCCATTTGGGGTCGAACGACCATTTCACGGGGGTCGCCAAACAATGCAGTCGCCATTTTTTCCCCCTTTTCCTTAGCTGTGCTACTCCCTTAGCTGTGCTACTCTGCCCTGCTGAGCCCACCAAAAGTCCCATTCTGCAAACGGTGCTGCAAGTTGTCTGCAGCAAAGGCGAGCTGTCTGGAAGCTTCCACCCCTCCCTGCTGAGCAACTACTAAAAATGTAAGTAAAAGAGGGCCAGGGGTGGGAGGTGGGAGGCCGGCGGGCACAGGGAGGGTTGCTGGCGCGTGTGGGGCCCGGCGGGTGCCTTACCTCCCTTGGGCTGGGCCAGCTGGTGGCCCAGCCGGTGGTCACCCTGCGCCATCGCTGCCCCTTGCCAGCTACGCCTCGGCCGGTGCAGGGGGCGGCACCACGCATGCATGGCGCTTCCGGGCAGGGAAAGTCCTCGACTTACGACCGGTTGGGTAGTCCTCGACTTACGACCGGTTGGGTAGTCCTCGACTTACGACCGGTTGGGGGTCGCGGCATTAAAAAGGTTGAGAACCACTGATGTAGGACCACAATTGAGCCCAAAATTTCTGTTGCTAAGTGACACATTTGTTGTGAGTTTTGCCCCATTTTACGACCTTTCTTGCCACCGTTGTTAAGTGAATCACTGCAGTTGTAAAGTTAGTCACAGTTCTTAGTGAATCTGGCTTCCCCCACTGACTTTGCCTGTCAGAAGGTCACAAAAGGGGATCCCATGACCCCAAGAAACTGCCACCGTCAGTTGCCCAATGTCCGAACTTTGATCACGTGGCCACAGGGATGTGGCAACGGTCATAAGTGTGAAAAACGGCCATAAGTGACTTTTTCAGTGGTGTTGTAACTTTGAACGGTCACTAAATGAACTGTTGAGGATTACCTGTAGAAAGAGATTCATCTAATGCGAGGTGGGGAAGGAGGATCTGCTCTAACCCTGGGAGAGCAGCCAGGTTTTCCAGCTTCCTGAAAGCCATCTGGGTGGGAGTCATGCGGATCTCCGGAGGGATTCCCAACGGCAGGCACCCTGGGAGAGAGGACGTGCTTTCTGGGCCCTGTCTAGGCTATGGCCTTGTCTAATCGAGGAGAGCCAGAGGATGCCCCTCTGCCAGCTGTTACAGGATGGGCAGAAACCCTGGAAGGTGGGCAGTCCTTCACATATGCGGGTCTTTATATAGAGCAGTGGTTCTCAACCTTTTTAATGTTGCGACCCCCAACCGGTGGTAAGTCGAGGACTACTCAACCGGTCGTAAGTCGAGGACTACTCAACTGGTGCAGCCCCGTTTGCAGACTGGGACTTTTGGCGGGCTCAGCAGGGCAGAGACAGCCTGGGCAATTCCTATTGGCTTTTGAAAGCCAATAGAATTAGACTCTATGCAAGAGAGTCTCTTCTATTGGCTTTCAAAAGCCAATAGAATAAAAGGGAGTAGCACAGCTAAGGAAAAGGGGGAAAAAATGGTGGACTGCGTTGTTTGGCGACCCCCGTGAAATGGTCGTTCGACCCCAAATGGGGTCCCAACCCACAGGTTGAGAACCACTGATATAGATGATCACCTAAAATGCACCCAGAAGCAACTTGGGAAGCACAGGGATCACATGGGCATGCCCCATTGTTGCGCTCTGGACTTCTGAGTGATCTTCAAGGGGAGCACCAAGTACAGCACACTGCAGTAGTCAAGCTGCAAAATGAGAGGCCTCAAGCAAGGCCCACCTGTTGTATTCCAACAGGAACTGTGAATCCCAGTTTGCACACCACTTTCAAATGGGAAAATGCAACTCTATCCAAGATCAAAGTTGTAAAATTTCTGAATTGGGGGAGGGGGTAATATTCACAATTGAAATTGGTTATTCCCCTTCCAGACTTGCCCAGCCTCTCCAGCCTGGGACCCGACCTCAACAGCCTCATTTGGCCGATTTGTGGTTGAGTATCCTCAGCACACCCATGATACCAAACCCTCAACCCTCAGCGGCTTCATGTAGATATTAAAGAGCAGGGGAGCAAGTGTGGGGAGCTCTCTCTGACCCATCAGCAATGACGAGAGCGGACGCAAAGGAAAAAATAGAACCAACATAAAATGGGGCTACTAACACCTGCAGTCCTCTAGTTCCCAAGCTTTGAATCTGATCCAGCCTCCATCTGAGTTTCATTCAGTCCATCTGCCTTTCTGACATTCTTTGTCTGAAATGGTATAATGCCTAAGCAAGGAGTTGGACTAGAAGACCTCCAAGGTCCCTTCCAACTTTATTATTATTATTATTATTATTATCGATCATCGCACAGTCAGCCAGATGTTCAGACTGGATTTGGCATTTTGTCTACCTATCGAGTCCTTACCCAGGACCTGGGATAGGCAGATGTGGATGTTTGATGGTATTACAGATATCGTCGCAGGATGGAAGCAGTTCCTAATAAGGCCGCCTTTTGCAATTGACTAATAGCGAATTTGTCAATGCCAATTGTGTTCAAGTGGTGCTCCAGTTGTTGTTGTTGTTGTTGTTGTTGTTATTATTATTATTATTATTATTATTATTATTATTATTATTATTATTATTTCTGTCACAAGGATAACTTTCCCCCAAGGTTCTAGTCAGCTTTATTCCTTCAACCAAATTTTCACTGTGAGGGGTTGCTTCAAGGCAGCAGACCACTTGGTTCCACCTTCACCCTGGAACAGACAAAGCAATCAGCAAAAGAGGATCAGAATCTGTTGTAACACCCATTCTCAGTAAGTCAGAGAGATTTCCAGCAGATATCAAGAAAGCTCAAATCTCCCCTGATCATTAGAACATAGAATAACAGAGTTGGAAGGGATCTTGGAGGTCATCTAGTCCAACTCCCTGCACATGCAGGAGACTCTACACCATTTCAGACAAGTGGCTGTTCTGTCTCTTCTTGAAAACCTCCAGTGATGGAGCGCCCTCAATTTCTGAAAGCAAGAAATTTCACTGGTTGATTGTTCTCACCATTAGGAAATTCCTCTTTAGTTCTAGGTTGCTTCTCTCCTTGGTTAGTTTTCATCCATTGCTTCTTGTCCTGCCTTCTGGTGCTTTGGTAAATAGTTTGTCCCCTTCAATTTTGTGACAGCCCTTCAAATATTGGAACACTGCTGTCATATTACCCCTGGTCTTTCTTTTCACTAGACCAGAGATACCCAATTCCTGCAACCTTTCTTCATTCGTCTTAGTCGCCAGCCCTCTAACCATCTTTGCTGCTCTTTTCTGTGTTCTTTCCAGAAATTGTGTGCCTCGTTGAAAATCTGGTCACAGAAAGTCCTCATGTGTCTCTCCTACCTGTCCAGGCAATTTATAGCAAACTCCCATGACAGTATCACATACATTTCTCTATCCTTTTATTGTTACAGAAACACTATTTTTGTCCCATTTCCCTCCAGATCAGGCTGTTCTGGGGCAGTTTGGCAGTTTCCAGAGGTAAATTCTCCAAACTGGAACCAGTTAGAGGTACTTTGGGAGAGATCTGACCCCAAACAGGCCTACTTAGAGGTGTGCAGAAGACCTCAGATTCCGCAAGTGGGTGGCATTTCTGTACTTCAGTGGAAAGTTTGCTAAAAATAGGGAAATGGCTGGGGAAATTTTACGGACTGTAAATGCTGGTTAAAAAAAGTAATGGGTATTATTTGGGCTGCTGCAGAAAATAAAAGTTTCTCAAAAAAACAACAACAACCCAGGAGCATTAGTTCCAAGGCCCTGCTTCTGTACACTTTTGTTATATGGAAGTTGCAGGGATGTTTCCCAGGGAGGTCAAAAAAGTCAAGATGGCAACCACACCACACCTTTTTTAGGTGCATTGCATGTGTAAAAACAGAAGGAGCCTTTTTTGACTGTGGCAGCACAGAAGTATATTAAATAAAGAGAGAAATGTGATATGCATTCAAAAGGACGAGGCTTTGAGTGTATCCTCACAGCTGCCACAGAAGAGCTGGAAGTGCCAGGGGAAATGGCAAGTGAGTTGTGGAGGGTGGAAAAGTGGCAGATCAAAAGTGGGTGTGGGAAACAAGAAACTGGAGGCTCAGGAAAAAATGGGTGCTGAATTTAGATAATCCTTGACTTACAGTCATTGATTCAGTGATCAGTCAAAGTTACAGCAGCACTGAAAAATGCGATTTATGACTGGTCCCTGCATGTACGACTGCCGCAGCATTTCTGTGGCCACATGATGAAAATTCTGGCACTTGGCAATCTGCATATATTTATGACAGTGGCAGCATCCAGCCTGTGAGCGTTGCAGCATGGGATCACGTGATCACAATCTGTGACCTTCCCAGTTGGCCACCGACAAGCAAAGTCAAAGGGGAAACTGGATTCATTTAATGACTGTATGATTCACTTAATGACTGCAGCAATTCGCTTAACAACTGTGGGGGAAAGATGATAGAATTGGATACACCTTGCTTAGCAGTGGAAATTCTGGTCCCAGTTGTGGTGATATGTAATGTGGCTTGAACACAAAAGAGGATAACCAGGATGAAAGAAACCCACTTAGTGGTTCTGTCACAGTCATAAAACGCCTGGGCATCCCATTGCATTCTTCTGACTGAAGAACTGAAGAAGCTTCTTGGATGAGAAGTGAAACGTCTTCTAGGAAGAACAAAGAAGGTCCATTTGCCTTTTGAAAAGGGCCTTTATGGACTATGGAGAAATTGATTAGTTCATTGACTGATGATGTGCCATCAAGTTGTTTTTGACTCTTAGCAACCACAGGGATAGACTTCCTCCATGGCGATCCACTCCCCAACCTGGCCTTTCAGTTCTTCCAAACGTGCTCTCATTAAAAAGAGGCTATTTATGTTAAAACTGAGAAGCCCCCTCTCAACAGAAGGGGAGGGATAAGGCACTACCTATCCACAAATTACAATGCAGTCCTTTTGGCTGTTCCAAGAAGATTCCACACCTTTGATTCAGGTGACCCCGAGGTCACAGATAAAATCTCAAGTAACCACAATGGCTTTCAGAGAGTGTTAAGACCATCTGACTGCAAAGAAAACACAATTATTCCATTTCCATTTCCCCCCCCCCCCAAACACACCATCCTATCAGAACCTATCATCCCTCCTCCCACCAACTAACCTCAACTGTCAGTAACTGTCCTTCCATCTCCATGGCATCCGATACAACTCATGAAGCTTCCAGGATAGGAAGCAAAACATCTTGTTTTTCCTCAAAAATCAGTCCAGTTGCCTTTTCAAAATAAAAACCACTTTTACTACAACTATGACCTGAACAACTGAGAATCTTCATAGACATGTGCTCCCCTTTCTATTGTTAACTGAGTTTATCCACCCTGCTGCTAGTCTTCTCTTTCCTTCCCCCTTTGCCACCATTACAGCTTTCTCCAAGGAGCTACGACTTTGCATAATGTGTCCAAAGTTGGATAATTTGAATACATACCTTGAGTGAGAATTCTGGGTTTTAGTGGAATATAGAAACATCGTTGGAATACAGGGCATCAAGACACAGCCAAGGGAACTGTCCGGTAAAAGGTAGCTTAGCCCACAGCAGGAATGTGGCAAGAGGGTCAAAAGAGACCTTCCCTAGCTTCTCGGGCTGTAAAGGGGATGGAGGGAGAGAAGTATTGCAAGATTCTGTTGAAGTAACCTTACAATAAAGCAGAATTAGCTCATCTGTCTGGTCTAGTTAGCAGACCCTGTTTCCTGTCTACTTAGTAAGGCTGACAATTGGTTTGACAAACCGTTGCTCTATTTTCTTAGTATTCTCTGGAGTCTTCCCCAACACTGAAGGTCAAAAGCATCAATATCTTCCTTTCTGCTTCTTTGAAATCCAACTTTTGCTTTCCTAGAATGTCACAGGGAATACCTTGCAGAATTCTGATCTCTGTAAGTATAAAGAATATTTGAATATCTTTTCTAAGGTCTTCATGGTTGTTCTATCAAAATGTAATCCATGGGTTATGGAGAAAAGGCAGGATATATATTAGATAGATAGATAGATAGATAGATAGATAGATAGATAGATAGATAGATAGATAGATAGATAGATAGATAGATAGATAGATAGATAGGAGAGAGAGAGAGAGAGAGAGAGAGAGAGAGAGAGAGAGAGAGAGGGAGGGAGGGAGGGAGGGAGGGAGGGAGAGAGAGAGATATTATCCAATAACTTTCTTCGCACTTCTTATATTATGGTTTAGTTCCCTCTTAAGGATTCAGAGGAAATTTTACCCTCTCCTTTCAAATTCTTTTCTTCCATCCCCCCTAATTTTATATAATTGTTTTCTATATTTCCAGTTAATTCAATCACCCTAATATCTTGCTCTAGCCCTGGGAGCTATTGACAAACTGTGCCAGCTTTTCATTTTCATTTTCCATTTTCCTCTCTTTGAGAGCAGAGCATTCATGGGTTGATTCTCAGAGTATGTGAAGTCACTTATTACCAAATTTGCCCTTCCTGATTTCATTCCTCATTTCAGGATCTGTCATTATGCTTAGGGAGATAATAACATGTTTCCAGAATTAATTATCTCTGAAGCCTAGATTTCTGCCCCAGATAGTTAAATATTCTATCCCTTTGTCTAGCTCAATTGGTGTCACGCCATCTTGGCATATGGAGGATAAATGTAGTCCCTCCTCCCTTCTAGCTTAAGTCCTTTTGACCAAACTGATTGATGATCGTGTACCATAAAGCTGATGTTGACTATAACAATGACATAGATAGATTTTCTCCAGGACTTCTGATTAGACATGACCATATTTCATGATAATGTAAAGAAAAGTGGTATTCTACAGGGAAAGCAGTGTGGCCCTTCAGATGTTATTGCATTATAAATATTAACATCCTTTGCCACTGATTATTCTTGCCTGGAGCTGCTGGGAATTATAATTCAACAACTGTTGGAGGACAAAACTGTGTTCAGCCCTCAGCCGCAAGAATAATATTTGTCCAATTTTGGAAAAATGAAAATTTACCATCTGACCAGGCTATAATAACAAAAATACTCAAAAGTGCAGAAATGGATAGACTGACTTTAGAAATGAAAGAGAAAGAAGACACAATTTACTTTAAAATATGGGGAAAATTTTATTATTGGTTAGAAACACGCTAGAGTGAGAAAAGGCTATGAAATTTAAAGAGATAATTGATAATTTGTATTTATATTCCATGATTATTTGTATGAACTTGCTCTTATTTCTTCTTCTTCTTCTTCCTCTTTGTATATTTGTGATCTTAAATAATATGGTAAACTATAATTAATATATAATATATTATTATTTTAAAGTGATTATAATTAATATTAAGCATTATTAAGTAGTGAAATGAATGAGATTTATTGACTAATTTATTATTTATGGGATTATATGGAAAGTTGTTTAATAATAGAGTAATTATTAAGATTTAATATATAAACCCAGACTGGTAGACTTGCTGAAGCAATGTTATTTTGTGGGATTAATCCCACTTTTGTGTTATCCCTTTTCCCTGGCCTAACCTTTTTGTATGTTTCCCGTTGTCTTGCCCTTTTTGACCCTATCCCCTTATTACCTTTATAAAACTCAATAAAAATATTTATAAAAAAAACTGTGTTCAGCCCTGCAACACTCTCTTAAATCCTCCTGATTTTCATAATGTCTGTGTTCTCTTTTCCAGTCATTACTCCTGCGGCTCCTAGTAGGTGTAGCTCCAACTATAGAAACAAGCTTACATTTCCCCAAAAGGAAGAGAAAAATCCAAAGGGATCCGAAACCGCACTGGGTGAGCATCCATTCCAGATGAGACAATCCAAGCGAACAGAATTAGCGATGCTGTAGAGAAGCAACTAGTGAGGAACAAAGGAAAGCAATTCTATGATCAGCCAAGGAGAAGACGTGGACCATGCCTTCCAAAAGCAACCTGCAGATTTTTCAAAGAGGCATGAAATCCTGCTGAAGAGGATGTGAGTGACTTGCCATGTGCTGGGATTAAATTCTACCAAAAGTAATCCTTCCAGGAAATTTTAGATTTGTCTTGATTGCAGTTTTCTTCTTCGGAGAGTGGAGAAATGCAGGCATTTGGCTCAATGTGCCTAAATATGTACCTTGGACAAAAACAGCCAAATTTAAAGAAAACTCAGAGCAATAATAAAGATGGTTCCATGGCACAAAAAGTTAATGAGAAACCTACCTCACAATGGGTGGGAATTCCTAAAGTTGTTTCACCCTATCCTATATGAGGAGACCTCACCTCACTACTGTAACCAGCTGGACACTACATTTTAAGAAAGATTCAGAGAACCTGGGGTGGATTTAATTCTCTGTTTTGTAGTTTATTTGTTTATCACAAATACTTTTCTTCTGCTCAAGGTTTCACAAAACTACAGGTATGGGATGTTTTAAAAAGATCAACACAAACAATATGCTTTAAAAGCAGGTGGTTTGTTCAGTCAGTGAACCACTTAGCCCCAAAAGCTACTCAACTAGCACAGCCTTCCTTGCAAGAAGCTGACCCAGCTCCACCTCTGGACAGGTCCAGAAGATGATAGCCATAGGAGAGCCAGCTGGCTTTCCAGCTCACATCCTCTCTGAATAATAGACCTGAAGCATCCCTTCCCTGCAGGTACACACAAGGACAGGTAGATTCGTCCAAGAAGAGACTGTGTATGTAAGGACCCAAAATCAAACCACCTATGGCTTTATGCCAAAATCAGAACTCTGAATTGGCCTTAGAAGCAATGAGTGCAATACCCAAAGGATGGCTTAATAACTACATAACTGGCAACTTGGCTGCTGCATCCTGTATTGATTGCAGCTTTCAGTTGACTCCAAAGACAGTTCCATGTGAAGCTCATCACAGTAAAATTGACCTGGTGGTAATAGATAAGCGTCCCTGTTGCTAAGGCATTATGGTTCGTCACACAGTCAGCCAGATGTTCAGACTGGATTTGGCATTTTTGTCTACCTATTGAGTCCTTTCCAAGTGCCTGGGATGGGCAGATCTGGATGTTGGATGGTGTTACAGATCTCATTGCAGGATGGAAGCCGCCTTTTGCAACTGACCGATGGTGAATTTGTCAGTGCCAACAGTGTTCAAGTGGTGCTCCAGTTGTTTTGGGGTTGCAGCCAAGGCGCCTGTGACTGTTGATACTACCCTTGCTTGCTTTTGCCACATTTCTTCTATTTCTATTTGTAGGTCTTTGTATTTTTTTTATCCTCTCCAGTTCTTTCTCTTCTATTCTGCTGTCTCCAGGCACTTCCATGTTGTTGTTTGTTACCATTGTTGTTGTTATTATTATTTATTTGCTGCCCATTTCCTGGACAGCTTACAGTATAAAAACATTAAAGCATTAAAAAAACATTTAAAAAAACATTAAGATCAACAATCATAGAACACAATGGATAAAATCATTAATAAATAAAAACTCTAGCCCCAGTTTGGAGAAGGACTTCTTTTCTTTGCTGTCCCAGCAGGAGCTGCAATCCAAGCTGTGGGGCTGCTCCTTCAGGGGAGAGAGGGACCTCACCCAAACCCAACACTGATATCAGGATGTCTCTGGAATAATAGTTACTATCGACTTGCTATGATTCAGTCCGAGCTTGTTTCTACCCAACCAGGCCCTTGGGCCTTCTGACACTGGGTTAGGACTTCCATCGCACTTTGAGTTGGGCCTGTGATAGACAATTAAGTATCATCCCCAAACCACAACAAAACAGCATCTACAACCCCAGCCCCCATAAATGGTCTAGCAGGATACCGTGGTTGATGGTACTAAAGCCACTGAACATTTTAATAGGATCACTCTCTAGGTCCCAATATATCAACCTCTGGAATGGGTAGTGCTGTTTCCATGTCACACCTGGATCTTTGGAAAGGAGTCAAAAAGTCAGTGAGGAAGAGCTGGCCAAGAACCCAAATACAATAACTAGAGTTGTGAAGGGTCTGGTAATGCTTAACCTTGAGATTGGGGGTGGGGAACAGATGAGCACTTTTACAAATAATGCTTTCATTCATGTGTTTAATCCATATTTACATTCCTTCTAGCTTAACATCACTTGATGTCACCCAGAAAAAAATCAAGACCTACATCATTATCAATAAGGGATAAGATCTTTCTAGCACTGATGATGTTATCTAGTTGGGTAATGACACGTCTGCAGGAAAACAACCAAACTCAGAAAGCACCAAGGACCCCACAGCTACATGGTCTTCAGTCAAAGGATTTCAGAGTCCAACTGAATGTTTAGAAAGAAGCATCCTAAGAAGTAATCACAGTCTGGCTGTTGAAACAAATAAGCCAAGACGTAGTACCCTTTGTTGAATGTGTTCAAGGGAAGAGGGGGATAAAGTGCCATCAAATCCCCTCCTTTAACCTAGATATCTGCCTTGAGCAGTGAGCTGGACTTGATGTTTACAATATCCTCTTCCAATTCTGAGATTCTAGGGTGTGGCCTAGTCTCCCCTATTCTAATTAATAAAATTACCACTGCTGGGTTCACACAGCATGCTTAAAATATTGAGATAGAGTGTATTTGCTCAGCATGCTATGCTTAGTTTATGTTAACCATGATTGGATTTTATGTAACCTGCTTTGTAAATTTATGTATTGTCCAGATTTCCCAAAAATAGGTAATAAATTTACAGCATGCCGGGTGAACATATCCCGCATGTTTTTGAGTTCGCCCTGCCCCGTTTCTTCCCAAGGGTCCAACTCCTGTTGTATCTCTCCCCACATTGATTGATTTTGCCAGTTTTCTTTTAGCTATGCATTCCCCCGCCCCTCAACTTCCATTTCCACCCTCTCCTCCATGTCTGGCCTTGGGAAGTTGTTGCCCTCAGCTAGTTCAACTAGACCGGCTCCTGCTACAGCTCGGAAGTGCCCCCCCCCCCTCTTTCTTCTAAAGAGAAACAAAAGCAAGGGAAGATTGGGGGTGGGTGGAAGGGAGGGGGAAGCAGCAGAGAGTGACAGGGGAATGTCACCATGTTGATGACGTGTTATATGACACTCTGTAAAAAACGAGTGACTAACCAGCGGCAGTTCCGGAGAAGGACAACAGCTCCTGAGAAAGGATTAGTCAGGAAATACTCCTGAAGGCAAGGCCGACTGGCTAAGCCCACCTCACTAGTTCCTCTCCCCCACACAGTGGGCACATTCAGATGAGCACGGCTGGAAACGTGAGGGCAGCAGGGCAGCTCTGCTATGGTCCAGCTTGACCGGACAAAGCACGCCAGAGGCTGAGGAAGGAGCTCCCTGATGATCTTTCTGATAAAGTGACCACTGCTCACATCAGAGGAATCAAAGTGATGCCACCTTTTTGACATCTTATCTTAAAAATGTAGAACTGCCTTAATGTTGGATCAGGCTAAGTCCTTGTGCCACACAATGGTTCCCTCAGATGCCACTAGGAAATTCACAAATATAGACAGAAAGATGGCTGCCCTCTGCCATGGTGGCCCTCATGCTTTATTCAAATGCTCTGAAGAGAATATCAAAGCCATGGTGATGGGTAGCTTAGCTGTTGACTGGGGGTGCTCAGGTTCAAGTCCACTTCAGCCATAGAAGTTCATTGGGAGACTTGGTGTCAGTCACTCTCTCTCATTCAGTCCTCACAGGATTGTTATTGTGAGGGTAAAACATAAGCTATAGATCAACTGGAGGAGGAGGAGGGGGGAGGGGGAGGAGGAGGAGGACAAAATTACTAGTCATTGTTCTCTGTCAGTCATCCTTTCAGAGCCATATGCATTGGCGATCATCACCAAACTTGCTGATAGCAAACTCTGTAGTTTAAACTTCAGGTCTGTTGGTTGACTCTCAAAGGCCGTGTAGTCCAACCATTTACACAAGCAATCTGTTCCACAGCGAAAAGGAAGCATGCCCTACATTTGCCAGCAAATGTTTTGTTTCCTTGTGCATCAATGCTAATTAGGGAGTTGGCTCTTAAGTAATTACAGGAGCAAACTTTTGCATAATTTGAGCATCTCTAATGAGGCAGCACATTACATCTCCTTTCTTTCACCACATGCTGCTCCCTGAGTTAAGCGCATCTTGCACATCTGTCAGTGCTCTCTGCAGAACAGGCCCCTTTGCAACTGCCTCCCCCCCATTTAGAAAGTGTTTGTTTGCTGATTTTCACCTTTGCTGGGTAGAACCCGCAACAGTGGCTCCTGCCCTCATCACTTGCCAGCTACTACTGCTGTTCATCTTACATGGGGCTTTTAAATTGCAGTTGTTGCACAGATATTACCAAAACCACAGGCCCCTGCCCCTCGGGCCCCACATATACATTTCTGGGTGCAATTCAAAGTGCTGATTTTGATCTATAAAACTGTGCATGGCTTAGCATGTAGGTGTTTATAGACCACCTCTTTTTATTTTGAATTGATTGATTTAATTGCTGGCATTGTTTTTCATTATTTTGTCATGATTTCTTTTACTTATTTTTATTATAACCATTCTTTTATTGCTGCACCTTCAGTTAATTATGGTTGTCTTAATATTCACCAGGAAGGCCTAGTATTATTGTTGTTTGTTTTATAAACCATGAAGAGTCTATTTTGTTCTGAACTTGTATAAAAGCAGAATAAATGAACCGTTTGCCCAACACCAACACACCTCGAATCTGTCCTGCTAGTCTTTCATATCTCACAATCAAGACCAAGCGGTCTGCTCCATCTGCTTCCATCTTGGCTTTTCTAAACACACCTGTGGTCACCCCAATGGCCACCTTAATGGATGCCCCCCCCCCGGCCCTTGATCTGGCAGAAAAGTTTGTTAGGGTCATTTCTGCTGCCCTGGTGGCCATGTTTTGTTCTGTCTGAGGGACAAGGTCATATATGGGACAATTTATTGGGAATAAAAGGCAGCTTCCCAGATTATGTTTCCCTACCTACCCCACATCACTAACTGGGAGAAAAATCCATCATAAATCACTGCCCCTAACATATATATGGCGAGTCTTGGCAAAGGAAAGTGATTGCCAGGAACAGAGGATTTCACGTTGCATTGGCGATAGGCACCAAGGTGGAGATTCTACATGAACTTGGCAGGTCAGCTGGGCTGTTTCTAAGCACATGTCTGGTGCTCTCCGGCTGAAGGAGTGCTGGAACCGCTGGATTAAACAGATATGGTTGGGCGCTCTTATAGAAGAGCACAAAATCCTTGTCTAAAACTTGCACAGCAAAGAGATCCAGATAGAAGCGTGAAGGAGTTCTCAGAGACCTCTTTCCTATCATTTTGAGCTCTGTGCTGCATATGTGATCTTACCTTTTAGAGCTGAATGTAGCATTTTTTCAGCAAGACACTCAGAAACCAGGTCACAGGTCTGGCAGAAGTTTGCAAAGATCACCACTCACTCTCACTTCAGCCCACACGCTT